GACTTCCAATTGTTCAAATGATGGAGTGTATCCGCCGCAAACTGATGCTGATGTTCAATGAACGCCGTGAATCTAGCATGCAGTGGACAAGCATCCTGGTTCCTTTTGCTGAAAAGCAGGTGTCTAAGGCAATAGAACAAGCACATAGCTACCAGGTACTGAGAGGAAATGAAGCCGAGTTTGAAGTATTATGTCATTCAGGAGAAGGAAGATACATAGTGGAAATCCGAACACGCTGCTGTTCTTGTAATGGATGGCAGCTATGTGGTGTGCCATGTTCTCATGCAGTGGCAGTGCTCCTCTCATGCAGGCAGAATGTGCACAGGTTTGCTGAAAGTTGCTTCACTGTGGCTAACTATCGTAAAGCATATTCACAAACCATACACCCAATTCCAGATAAAACCATGTGGAACACAATGTCTGATGGGTCTGAAAGTAGAGCCGTAGAAGTTGTCATAAATCCACCCAAGTCTCTAAACCCACCTGGAAACCTGAAGAAAAGGAGACCTCCTGCTGCAGAAGAGAGTGGTGGTCGAATGAAACGAGTTGTGCATTGCAGCCGCTGTAATCAAACAGGCCATTTTCGAACCACATGTTTTGTCCCTATGTGAGGTGCAAAGTAATTAGCAATATACCAGATAGATCATAACATAGTATGTCTTTTAGATTGAAGTTACAGAGACAGGAACACAGTCAGTAGTACATTATCTTCATCGTTTAGCTCATTCTTTTTGTGAAGAAACTAAACCAGTGATCATATAATTTAGCCAACCTTTTTTGTTTAAGTTTTTGGAATTTTGATTTACATACTACATGAATTGTACATGGCCTTCCTTTAAAATAAAATTATTTTACTTGGCTGTCCAATTGTTGTTGTAAAGGATATTTAGGTTCATTGGGAAAATGGTGCTTTCATATTTGTTTGAGCCTGTCTCTATCACTGAGTATTAAATCAGAAATAGAATACTTAACCCCTGATTCTAGTGAAGTCCATATTCATGATAATGTAAGATGAGGATTCATTATTAAACATGACAGCTTGTTAATAGTCATATATACAGGACAGAAGGAACATGGCCTGTATTGACCACTAGCATTTCACTCTGGAGATTGATAGACATTGTAACCCCATAGGATCCTCCTCTGATGCACCACTTGCATCTTCAGCCATCAAATTCTGCATCAGATATATTATAGCCAATTCAGATAAATTCACTAATACCAAACAAAAACACAGTAACAGGTGCATCAAGATGTAGGCACAACCACAAAAATAGTCCCACCTTGTTTTTAATAACTGCTACATTCTCTATTCCTCTCCTTTGGATATACTTTTCATTAATACCATGTTCCCTGACAATATCGAAAAATACAAAACATGGTATGGACACACATTATAATGGTACTTGGTTGATTAAAATCTAATCCTGTGAGACTTTACTACATACATTTAGCCCAACTTCATAAGTTGTCATTCTGAACTCATGAAATAATCAAATCCTGTATACACTGTTTGATTATTATCACTTCTTGTATTCTCCTGCTGGATTACTGATATTTGTATAGTTTCACTTCCAGGACAGTTGGTTTTTAGCAACAGTGCTCGTGTGTTAACATATTTTATCATGAATGATCACTATGATGATAGTTTAAATATAAATGTTAATTAAGTTTATTTCAGTTAATAAAGTCACGAGACTTATAAGACCACAAGGCCTAACCTCATTTTTGAGCCCTTGAGTAGAAGTTTAATATCTACATTTTATGATCAATGATTTGCTGTCATAACCCATGACTCAAATATTGTTCAGATTTTATAAGGTAGAAGTGTATATTTGCTTTTTAAGTTTTATACATTACACGACCAGTTAAGAGGATTTCCATACATAGTCATTATTTAATATAACAAATATATTCATAGCTGAAAATCCTTACAAAACATAAGTCATTACATTTATAAAAAAACAATAACAAAGAGTGATGCACCAGTGTTAGATCAAAACTTTATCCAAGGAATAAGTTGATTAGTCAAGTTACTTATAAAATATTCGTTTTGTTAATTCTTATGCAGTGTGAATTCAAGACCTAAAGCTTACATTTGAATCTTGGTTAATGTGTATTGTGTAGAAATTTTACACTAAAGATATTATTTTGCATATGCTTATCTGTGTGTTGAAAACTTGAAAGTCAAGTCCAAAATCATTAGTTTGTTATGAAGCAGATATTGATTGTGAAAATTCAATGCTCAAAGTCAAACTCAAGAAGCAAAATGTGGAATTATTTATAAGCATCAAATCAAATCAAAACAAGCTTCTCAAATTGTGAATTTAAAGTCAGAAAAATCAGAGCCAAAGAGGCTTTCTGGTTGAAGAGTAAGCCCATATTTGAAACTCAAGATGTTGTGTTTTGTGCACAGTTTGTCACCTTGTCTGTATATCTATCTATCTATCTATATATCACTTTTATGTGAGTTAGGAACCTTTAGATTTGGAGACACAATAATTCTTCAAATATTAAGCCTTTTCTTCAATAATAGTGCCCTTTTTGCCATATTTTCAATCATCTTCAAAAGTAGCACTGGAAGATTCTTGTGATGATTTAAAGCACACCCAAAATCAGGACAAGTAGCAGTACTAGTTCTCATCATTGAACTTCTTTTTTTACCCACCCAATTTGCCCTTCATAGTCATTAAAATTCCCAATACATTAATTGTTATTGGGAGAGCAGTAGAAACAAAGAGCATGGAAAAACATTTCAGAATTTGTTGCATTTGACAAAAAAAGTGAATGAACAAAACATGAGGCTAATCCCCTTGCTTGAAATGTCTTAGCAAATGATTATGTTTTGATGACATTATTCAAGAGAGAGTGAACTTGCAAATGTAATGATGATGTTTGATAACATTGTTGGCCACTCAGAAAACAATTATGACAAGTATAAGCATAGGTCCGGGTACATGGCCCAACATATATAACATGTCTTAAGTTTAATATATATTGGATAATCTGTATATATAAAATTTTGTATACTATTTGTACATCATTTTTCATTCATGTATATTATTTTTATTTAAGAGTTAATAACTATTAATGCATGAAATATTAGAAGATGTGTCAAAAAGCATAAAAAATTCTTACACAATTAATAATTAATGTATATATATTAATTTCTCAAATGTGTAATATGAGAGAGTTGAAACCAATAATTGACACTCATTCAGAGATTTGCCATCTTGAAGTGATTGATAGATAATACATTTACATAGTTCTCCAACCAAAAGGTCAATGTAATAAAGGAAAGAAGCCACTAGATATGAAGTTATAAGAGAAGGAAAATAACATTTGGATCATGTCACCAATTTGAGTTCTTCCCTAAATGCTCCATATAGGATGATGTATAAATAAAAAGGTTCACAATACATATTATCCGTTCCCCATATAAAATTATGGCTCGAGTAGCTACTGAAGAGATGCAACTGCTGGAGTGGATCCAAATCTCGAAAAATATTCCTATATAGGATTTAAATATGTTAAGAATTTATCTTTTAGAAGTTACTCAGTTATTGCCACCTTGAAGAGCAAGAAAACTTTTTTTAGGTGAAGATGCTCGGAAATGTAGACACACAGTGGCATACTAAAAGGCATTTTGACTTTAGGTTATAGTTTACAGGATGGTTTCTTTTAATTACTATAGAGGTCATGATTTCATCTACCTTTTTATGTTGGACTTGTTTGGTGCTAGATTTATCTATAGCTTTTGGAAGTTATACCAAAGAATCTTTATTCTTTCCTGACAATTGTAGCCCCCCAAAAGCTCATTTTCACAAAACAAATTTCCTTTATAGACTTTATATGTGTATGTGTTTTCCTACACATTATGTAGACTTATAGGGTAGACAATGTCCTTAACACAATTAATAACTTTGGTTTTGATAATGAACTTGATGGTTGAAATCTCTCAACAAGACTTGTCAACAGGAATGTGGTGGTACATATTTCCCTTAGCTGGATCTCACATGTGTTCCCAACTTCATCAATTTCTCTACCTTATCTTTCTCAATATGTGTCTAATAACCAATTCTCTTAAACCAATAATTGTAAATACAAGAATTCAATTTTTGCTTGGTCTTTTTATATATGTTGCATTAAGAATTATGTTTTCAAGGGCATATCTATCACCACTTTCTTGGAGCATATATATATATATTATTACATTTTAAGATAGGTAAATACTCAAGTTATTGTGACTTTATATTCTCCTTTTCTTTGGTACAATTTACCCCATCCTCTTTATATATATATATATATATGCTTGTACCTTTAAATCACTTTTCATTGTTAAGCTTGAGAGTCAAGTTTGGCATATTGCACCTGTGCCATCATTAACAACGGATCACCATCACTATCTTCTTCTCTTTACCTTAGTGGCAAGCAAAGGAGAAATTCTTTACTTGAGATATGAGAATAAAACATATGTCAAAAGCATCAAAATAAATACCAAAACTATTATACGATTGATTAAGGGTACTTACTATGTGTATTCCATTTCAGTAAAACTTTAACATATATATAACATTAATTAGTGAGGGAACTAAGTAGGTAAGGGTACTAGGTTGGTTAAGGTTTTTGTCATCTAACATCAGACACAATTAATTATGTTACTTGATAATGCAATTTCCAAAGTACATTAATCCCAATGCAAGATTTATAGTGAATTTTTGACTTGTTTAAAAAGAAACCAATTTTATATGTATGCATGATTCTTGATTGAAACAATTGTTACTATTGAATGAAAATCCTACGTGTGAAAAGCAAGTTAATGGTAGTGTAGAAAGTGGACTCCAAATCATGTGACCCAAGTAAGGATCTCCAAACTTACGTATATAATAAGGACCCCATGAAAAATAATGCATGGACATATCAAAAACATTGACAACCTAGTTTTTTTTCTCCCTCTTCCCTCTCCACACTTTCCTTGTCTGTCATATATTACATAAAAGGTTGAGGGGAATGTCGTCTGGCTCGAGATCATTTATGCAAGTGGCCTCAGGCATAACTCGATGAATGATTTCGGACCAGGCTTCATTCCCCTCAACTACCGGACACTATTATCTTCATATATTGCATAGTCAATCTTTTTCTCCCTTGAAAAGTTTTGCTTCAGAACTAGTCCTCATGCAATTGAAGACAAGAGATGGATTGCAGAAACAGCTATGCAAGATTAATTGATAATTGGATATAAGCTTCCAGGTCAGGTTGTTCTTATAATCTGTTCATGTTCATAGCAATAGGTATATGTTAGTTTGGTGATAAACTCTTCTTGTGGAGTTTTTGTTATTGTTTTCAGGATTTGAACATCAGAGTTAGTATGTTATTTTGTGTGCCATTTACTTGCTGCTCTATAGTTCATCATAAAATCTTTTTTTGATCTAGACCAACAGGTATTCTCCACCGGAGGCAATTTTGTCGAGCCGAGAGCATCCATATTACCGGCTCGCTCTCCCACCGGAGGTTTTTCTGTAGGAGAGACTCAAAACTGGGTTCTTGCTTGAGGGAGAATCAAGAATGACCATAGGAACCAACCACCTTATGGTTCATCATAAAACATTTGTTCATTCTAAACTATTTGAACCAGGCTTGACAGGAATTTACCCCTTGTGGATCAACCTGAACATAAAGAAACTAAAGCTAAAGAAGCAGAAAGAGAAAAATGAGAAAACAAAGGCAGTTATGTAAGTGTATCCAATTTATTCAAAGTGATCCTTAGTTGCTGTAACTATTGCAATAAAATCTCATCACAAGATTCCTCATACCCTTTTTATTATCCCACAATAATAATCACATGGAAAAGTACTCACAATATAAGATATAGATATCAAAGGACAGGGTTTGTTGGGATCACACTCATGGGTGATTTATGGCATAAACTTTAGGCTCACCTAGTCAATCTAATTCATCTTTAATTAATACTGATATAGTTATATTATTAGCTGAATGATTTGGGTGTGACTGTTACTAATCAAATCATATGCATTTTAATCTGATTGAGAATCTTCTTGCAAAGTTGCACTCTAATGTCAGTACAGAGAAGTTGTGAAATAATAGTATTAACAATAATGTATTCCAAGAGGGGACATAAGATATCCAAACAGGGAAAATAAATAGCTAAATGTTACAACCTATGATATAGGGGAATTAGCTAGCTATTACAACCTCTTAAATAAGGGTGTATATAGTGGGAGGTTTATAAAGTATTGGTAGTTACATGAAAAAAACATTTACACACCATAAATTAGAGTTATGTTATGTGTACAACTAGTTTGTATACCTAATATTGACACTTTTCTTTTAGAGAAAGAAAAAAGGAGGAAAACTTGTGTTCAATCTTGTAATTTTCCCTTATACTTTTCCTATAAGGAAAGTGTCAATGTTAGGTGTAGAAAGTTGTGCACACCAAATGTCATTGAAGAAAATAGGCAAATCAAATGATATATCATTGATTTGTTTATATATTTTTGATAAAAGACAAGTAAAAGTAGTATAATAATTAATATGTAACTAGCACTATTCATCTGGCATTTCCTGATTGCAGAAATTGCAGTTACAGGGACAGGAACATCTATTATACAGACTATGGACAGTAGAGTATCACTTTGTCTATTAACTTGCACAAATGGAGAAAAGAACAGTGTAATTGTTCAGCATGCTTACCCTGTGGTGGAAATAAAACCTGCAGCAGGTGCTCAAGTCACTGACATTTATGGCTATAAATTTGTAAAGTTGGTTGAAAACTAGGAATGACAAACCATAGATCAATCCTTATCCAATAAATATGATTTGAAAGAAATGACATTCCTAAGTCTTAACTGGGGGCAAAAGAATATATAACCTTTCACACAAAGACCAAAAAAGGCAATATGCTTGGAAAGTGTATATTACATTGTAATTATAACAGATTTAACTGCTTAGTGTAGTGAGCACCTATCATATTCTTTTTCTGCAGGATTGACAGAACCAGATTAGAATTGAATAAGTGGGATTGTTATTTTGATTAAAAGTCTTCAAACTGATATCTAGAACCTCCTTTCGAGGAGAACAGTTATCAGGGATTGAAACAATAATTTTGAATTTTTGATGAAAATATGATTTTATAATTTTTTATTTGGAATTTCAGAAGAACAAATATATATTAAATATATTGCATAAGTTTTATACACATATTTTATATATGTATCCCAAACATATTGTATTCTGAAAATTTAAAGAATACTCGTATTCATAGCAGTTATATATTGTATCCGTATTTGTGCTGCATAATTAGCAACCATGTGTTGATCAGAACTTTTTTGTTGGCCCTACATGCTTGCTGCAATCAAGTGCCTATTTGAATCATCTGTCATCATTTTATTTTGGTACAAAATGAAAGAACAAAAAGCAATAGAATATTACAGCCTTATAAAAAACCATACATGTCATAAGTAGAAAAAGATTGTACTTCTCTTAAAGAAGTTACCAAGATTGATTAATTACAGGTAGAGGCTCCATAGAATCAGATTCCAAAATCACTTACCTAACTCACCAAGCAACTACCAGCTAAAATAGACTGCACAAAGCTCAGATAACAAACTACATGTTTTTCTGGCACTAACTATTAAGCCACCGACACTTAGAACTTGATTTTATGGTCAAAGTGTGAAAAGCAATTGCAACTTGCTCAAAATTCCTAAAAGGCAATATTGCTCTTTTAAACTTTGGATATAAAGAAATGCCATAACACTTTAGTTTGAGAAAATTTATCTCAAATTAGATGAATTTTATCCTCTTATGTCTATTACATTTTTTTTGGAGTGCCCAAATCAATAAAAACATGAACCCCACCTTAGTGTTTATGTGCTAACAAAAGAGTTGCATTTGACACATTTTTGCACAAAAATCATATGTTCAACATTATTATATGATTGGCAAGTCGCATTGGAAATGATTAACAAAAATACTCACGTGCCTATTTATTTATTACTCCCTCCCTTCCATGAAAATGGGAAAGATTTGTAGTTGTTCTTGTGCCAAATTTAGGTTAAAGTATTTGTTTACTTTATGGCCATTGGTTACGGTTATCAGGGAAAGCGTGAATCATGTAGTATTAATTAGGGAGTAAAACATTTATTTAATTAAGCATATAAAATTTTAATGGATGATTAGGTGAATAATCAACTAGTCAATTTGAAACCATATTTTGTTTAATAAAAACTATCCGTGTTTCTCATACATTTCATTTTTGTATTTCTGCCAACTAAAATTAATCTAACACATTAAGATTGGGTTGGATTTAGATATGGATAGATGCTTGGTCAATGAATCCAATTGTCATTCCTATTCTTAGGACATATATGGTTCAGATGACAACGGGTCGGATGGGCACGAAGGGTGCATAGTCGTACTCATACCCGCACTATTTACTAAGTGGTATGGATGATGTTATAATTAATTCCTTCTTGGACTACTTCAAACTTGAACATGTAATTTTTTGCATAGAAATATAAAAGCAGGTGGGGGAGTAGTTAAAGGTAGGAGAATAATAAGAAAGAAAGAAAGTAATAATAGTAAGGAAGTGGTTGAGATGTAGCACTTAGTTTGTATTGTACAGTGTGAAGGTAAGAGTAGATTGATAAAGGTTTATATTTGTTGGAAAGATATGGTTTACTTTCTACGTTGAAGCAGTTAATAAGCACAAATTGCTCCTCTCTACCTCATTTAGACCCTCACATGAATCGTGTGTTGAAGTTCCTTATAATAAGAAACCAAATATGTGTGAGCAACAGAAGGACTTAAACCATATATTTAATCATCCTTGGAATATTATTGCATCATGACTGTTCCATATTGAATACTACAACTTAACATGTTAGTTTCACTTATTATATACATATATCATATGATATCAACTTGGTGAAACATTATTGTTATAGTAGAAGGTGTGTGTTTGAGGACAAGTTTGATGATGACAGACATGTTTGAGAAGCAGACATCTTCTGATGTTTCAAATTATGCATCAAGCAGTGGTTTGTCAGGGGATGATAAAGAGATTGGGTATGAAGCTGCAACATTCAACCATCAATATCTTTCAGCCAAAAACTCTATTTTTCACTTCTTACCCTTCAAAATTGACCTCAATTTTGCTCGCATGGTAAGAATATATTTGTAGGATCAAACATCTACCATTAGAGCTTTTAGTCACTAAGCCCTTATAATCCTAAGGGAGAAGTTGGCCAAATAAAATCACTAGCATTTAGAGTGCTATAACCCCTTTGATTATTCTTCATGATAATTTAAGATGTGTAGAGTGGAAATTATTGCATGGAATCCCAATTTTTTCTTATTTATGAGAGAAAGATAAGTAACATCAATATGTTATGTAATAATATTATGGACATTCTGCCTGTTATTTTCCCTTGATAGAAAAAATATACATATTGTAATGTTTGGTAACATAAAAAACTAAGTTGTTTTGATATATAGGTGATAGCAGAGGTGATGGGTACTTTTATATTGATGTTCTGTGTATGTGGAATCATTGCAACCACACAACTCCAAAATGGTGCAGTGGGCCTTCTGGAGTATGCAGTCACAGCAGGATTAACAGTGGTTGTGATAATATTCTCCATAGGACCAATATCTTGTGCGCATGTTAACCCAGCTGTCACAATAGCCTTTGCCACACTCGGTCATTTTCCATGGATCAAGGTTCTAAACAGAGAACATACATAGCCCTTGTTTTAATATTGAGATATCATAATTGATTAGTTTATGATTTTTTATCATATATCTTTCCCTTGTTTGGTGGTCAACAGGTTCCAATTTACATAATAGCTCAGACAATAGGTTCTGTGGTTGCAACATATATTGGTAGCCTTGTCTATGGCATTAAATCAGAAATTGTGATGACTCAGCCACTCCAAGGGTGCAACTCTGCCTTCTGGGTTGAAGTTATTGCAACCTTCATCATCATGTTCCTCATTGCAGCTTTGACATCTGAATCTCAATCAGTAAGGAGGAATATTACATATTTCACTTCCCTCAAAGTTCATTTTTACCATCC